AGCAAAGACAGGAGAATGGAAACAGGGAACCCAGGGAGGAAGGGGGGAGAGTGATAACACATTGAGAAAACTGCAATCAATGTCAGGAAACCAGCTGTGAATAAATTGTTGAATGGGAAACTACTTTGCTCTGTAAACTTTCACCTAAACCACAATAAAATGTTCAAAAAATATAAAATCATGCTTGAAAAGTAAAAAAAAAAATTTAATGAAATAAATAAATGGAGACATATACCATGTTTGTGAGTTGGAAGAATGAATATTGTCAAGATATTAATTCTCCCCAAACTGATCAATAAATTCAATGCAATCCAATCAAAATCCCAACAGACATTTTTGTAGAAATTGACATGTGGAAATGCAAAGGACCTAGAATAGATAAAATAAGTATGAAAAAGAGCCAAGTTGGAGCACTAGCACTAATTCCATGACCTATTACTAGTATTCAAAGACATAATAGTACTGTCATAAATATAAACAAATAGCTAGATCAATGGAACCGAATAGAGATGTCCTTTTCTAGAATTGGTGTTTCCTGATGACGTGTCCAAAGTAAGTGCTCAATAAGTATTATTTCACAGACAAGGAAAGCAGGCTGAAATACATTAACTAATCTGAAGCCATACAGCTAAGAACTGACAGCCTGAACCCTTTGGTGTCAAATTCTGAGCTCTTTGTACAACACAAATACTTCTATCACCACCTACAGATGCTAATAAGTTAGGAGAATATTTGCATTGCAGTTAATATTTAGAAAATGGTCCCCAAGATGCATCCTGTGGAGTTGCTTCACCCTATTCTGAAGTCTTCAAGTGATTTGTGCAAAGACATGAACAAAGGTTGAAGTGTAAACCCAAGTCTCTAGGCCACCAAAGCAAAATTTTTTCCTATATCTTTTCCTAAACAGACCTACCCTATTCTTTCCTAAAATATTGTCATGTGTCCTTGAAGTGAAAGTTCCTAGAGTTCAGAAGCTGCATTTTACCTAATCTAGGCACTTCACTTTCTCATACACAACTACACACACATACACACACACACACACACACACACACACTGGCACATGCTATCACATTACATAACCCTAGCACATTAAAAAAAAAAAAAAAAAACCATTGCCATTGAGCATTGAGTCGGTTCCAACTCATGGCAACCCCATGTGTAGGGGCTCCAAAACAAATGTCGTTGACTCCCTTCTACTGCCACAGGCTGGACTTTAACCTTTTTTCCACCAGATAAAAGGAAGAGGAAAAGTGTACTAACTACAAATTCTGGGTTGAGTGATTATATAAAGTAGGCAGTCAACCACAGCTGGAGACAGTATGTATGTAGAGTCTGAGCTCATGCTCTGGCTGAGTGGAATCCCCACTCTACCCTTGCTTGCTGGCCTTGGGAAATTTACTCAACCCTCTAAGGCTCAGCCGCCTCATCTACCTATAAACCAAGGATAATAATAGAACATGTCACATAGGGTTGTTGCGTGAATTAAATCAGATAATTTCTGTAGCAAACTTATCACAGTTCCTGAAAGGTGATAAATGCCTAATAAATGTCAGTTGCTATCTATCTACCTATCATTGCCATGATTATTATCATCATCATTTTTATTACTACTACTACTATAATTATTATTCAAAACCACAAAAAAATAAGACGGAAAATGAATGATGGGATTTAGAAAGCCCTTTTGAATTAAAATAGTAGTTGCATTTGTAGATATCTTCAGATTTCCCAAATACTCTTGCTTTCCTCATCAAGTATTTGTTGAGCCAGGCAACGTACTGGGTTCAGCAGATACTAGTAAATAATACAGACATGGGCCTCATCCATTTATGCATTGGATCCTCAAAATATAGTCCTGTAAAGTAGGTAAGACCACTTGGCAGATAAGGAAATTGAGGACTCAAGAAGTTGGAAGTTAAAAGGTAGAGCTCAAAAACAACTCGGTTCTTCTAACTGCTGGTCCAAAGCTCTTACGAATATAGTTTGACACCTGTGTTCTGAGCTAAGAGACTGGAACCTGAAATTAATTCATTCATTTAACAAATATTTATTGAATGTCTTGTATGTGCTAGGTGCTTTGCTAGACACTGGACATACAGAAATGAAGCTCACAGGTGAAATTCTTGCTCTGTTATAGTTAATTTTTTAGTTACAATAATTAGACAATATCAAATAAGTATATAGTATTTGGATGGTGACAAGTATTATAGAGAATAATAAATCAGGAAGGGGAGGTAGTAGTTCAAGTGCAGTTTTAAGTAGAGTTGTATGGGAAAGCCTCACCAGCAGGCGACGTTTGAGGAAAGACGGAAAGGATGGAGAAACTAAGCAATGAAATATTTCACAAGGGCCTCCCAGAAGATTTTGACCTGCTCAAAGCTTTCATAACAGCCTCCTTTACCTCCTTATTTCTAAGACTATAGATGAGAGGGTTCAGCATGGGGGTCACCACTGTGTAGAGCACTGACACTACCCGCTCTTCCTCGGAGGACTGTCCTGTGTTATCTCGCAGGTACATGAAGATGAGGGTGCCAAAGAAGAGAGCGACAGCAGTGAGGTGGGAGGCACAGGTAGAGAAGGTCTTGGCCCGGCCCCCAGCAGAACGGATCTTCATGATAGCCACGATGATAAACAGGTAGGATACCAAGATCACCAGTATACAAGCAGGCATGACAAAAATGGCAAACACAATAATCACTACTTCCTGGGTGTAGCTTTCCCCACATGTGAGCTTTAACAGAGGCAGAAGGTCACAGAAGATAAAGTTGATTTCATTGTTTCCACAAAAGGAGAGCATGAAGGCTGTGACTTCTAACAAAGGCACTGGAGAAACCAGCCACATAAGCCCCAGTCACTAAGCCTAAGCGGTCCTTCTCAGGCATAACGGTGACATAAAGCAGGGGTTGACAAACGACCACGTAGCAGTCATAGGCCATGATGGCCAAGAGGTAGCACTCAGTGGAGGCAAAGAAGGTGAAGAGGAAGAACTGAGCTGCACAGCGAGCTTGAGAGATAACGGCACCATGTTCCAGCAGCACACCCAGCATCTGAGGGACGGTGACAGAAGAGTAGGAGAAGTCCACGAAGGAGAGATGGCTGAGGAAGAAATACATGGGAGTGTGAAGCCAGCGATCTTTG